ATCCCAAAGAACCTGGTCTGCTGATGTGCTTAAACCAACATGGCTACAACATATACCCCTGTAAAAAATATGTGCACTCCAGCTTCTCCCCGAAGTGTTGAATTTGTCACCACACCCCAGCATTTCAGCTAGCAGCACCCTGGTAGGAAGTATTAGCCAGGCTCACTCCCCAGCCAGCCCTTCCCAGCAGAGCCAGGGGTCAGCACAAGGTCAGGTCCACACCAGAGAGGAAAGGGTTAGCTGTTAGCTGTCAGCTTCACTTGTGAGCTGGCTTGCTAGCTGGGCTGAAGAGATGTAGGTTGTTGATGTGTTGTTTTTTGTTTTGTTGGCTTTTGGGGTTTTTTTGAAGACTGTTTCACATGTAAGCTCTCGCTGGCTTCTCTCCAGCCAGCTGCTGCTCTTCCCACAGAATAACATGAAAGTGACTACAAGGACCCCAGGTCTTGTTCTTCAAAATCTAAATTGACTGCTGGGTATTAGCAGGGTTGGACTGGGGACTGGGGGGTACACTGGTGCATTTGCACCCCCCTTCAATTCCTATTCTTTCATTCACTGAGAAGGGAGTAGAAGCAAAAGTGTTTATTTTAGTCAAGTGTTTGGTATTATTTCATTGTTGCTTTTATATCGTTTTTATTTTGGATTTTAAACCACATTTCCAGACCCATTTCATTGTCACTTCCTGCAACTTCACTGGTGTCAAAGATCACGTGACATCACTTCCTGATGTGATACTGCTTCCTGTGAGGTCTTTGAATATGGTTCACCGGCCCACTGGGTGATAAAAAGTTCATAGTCCAGCCCCATATTCAAAAAGGTTGGACACCCCTGATTTAAAGTCACATCTCTCACCTCCCCTGGAGAGTGGCACAGCCACCAGGCTAGAGGTTATCATCCATGGAGGCGCTCTCCACTCCTGAAAGTGCTGTGCAGAAAGATACTGACATTTGTTGGTAACAAAGGGCGCAGGACAAAGCATACACAACTCTTTAACTCAGGGCTGAAGGCACTCAGCAGGGAGAGGGGAGGCCTGGTTCTAGGCTCGGCAACTGCAGAATTCTCTTAAAATAAGAGGGAAGCTCTATCCAGACTTTAAGATAATACTAGTCTACAGGAAGAAATGTCTCCCTCAAGGTGCAACACTGCCTCTACATTCAGCAGTGAATCTCCTTGAAGGTCCTGAAGCTACTATTTAAAGTAGGGGTGGGCAAAATGGTGGATCTGGCTGTCAGCTGGACTCCATTTCCCAGCATCCCCTGTCCACATGGCTGGGGTCATTCTCCATGGAGACCCCAGGTGCTGCACTGTGATAGCACACGGCTGGGGTTGCCATGGAGAATGGCCCCAGCCATGCAGCAGGGCAGTGCAAGGGGTTGCTCCAGAGCCACTGGGATCTTGTGGTGGGAGCAGCTTTGTCTGGGGCCAGGGCAGAGCCATGATCTGCTTCCTGCATGCTCTGGGCAGGGGTGTGCAGGCAGTGGATCATGGTTCTGCTCCTGCTTGGGACCACACTGTCACCACTGCAAGGAGCTGGGGCAGAACCATGATCTGCTACCTAAGCACCCTGCCTGGAGCGAGCAGGTGGCGGATCATGGCTCTGCCCTAGCCCCGGACCAAGCTGCCCCCACAGCAAGATCCCAGCAGCTCCAAAGCAGCCCTCTGCCCTGCCTTGCTCACACCCTGCCAGCGCAGCTGGGGCCAGTCTCCAGGGCAACCCCAGCCTTGTGCTATCACAGCACAGCAGCTGGGGGTCACCATAGAGACTGGCCCCAGCCATGTGGCCAGCAGCTGCCTGGAAACGGAATCCACTGCTGGCCGGATCCAGCTCTCTAGCTGGACTTTGCCTGCCCCTGCTTTAAAGGTATCAAGTGTCCTAATTTCTTAATTCCAAGAACATATCACTAAGCTTGCCTAGGCAGTTGTGATCCATAACAATACTAAAGCTGACAAAGCTCATGGTAGAACCATTGGGAGAGATGGGTCAAACTGGGCGCATCTACATGAGACGCTCCTGCACAGTAGCATTGGCGGGTACTAGCCATGACACAATGCTACTGCACAGTAGTAACAAGCTACTGTGCAGTAGCTCATTGCTGTGCAGTCATTTAGTACTTAGTTATGCAAGTACTAAATGATTGCACAGTAACAACTGCGTAGTCTGCTGCTTGTGTAGACACCACCAATATGCAGATGGCAAGGCTGTGAACAAACCACTGGAAGTCTGACTTCTGCAATCTTAGAGAGACGCTTTGCACAAACTTTCTGGTAATAGAGACAATGACAGACCAACAGTTCTGCATCTCCTGAAAATGGTCTTACTCAAGAGATTGGCAACTTCTATAACAGGAGGAAAAGAACAAACTTTTTGGAAAACTACTACTTTATAAATTGTGTATATGGTTCCTGGATGCTATGGTGCTGGGTGCGTTATAAATGCGTAAGAGAGATGAGTGGAAAAAAAAAAATCACTGACAAACTAGGTTTATATGGCTGAAAGCCCAAAAGAGTTATTCTGCTTTCCAAAAGAAGCTAAAGATGTTATCCTTATACAAAGGTTACATTTTTTATAGCTGGAAGGAAGAAGGAACATAGGAGAAAGAAGCAGAAAAACATATAAATAGAGGGCCATATCTTGAGCTGTGGCTGAGAAAAGCTTTACACAGCTCAGAACTGGGGATTCACATGTAAACTTAACCAACCTCAGACCTCTCCTCTAACACAACTTGGGGGCAGGGAAGAAGGCATTTCCTCCCAACACATCAGAAGACGGGTAAATGATTTGTTTTACAGAAGGGGAAACTGAAGCGCAGATGGGGTAAGGGACTTTCCAAAGTCCTACAGTGATGTCAGCATAATTTAGGAAGACATCAATGGCAATATTCCAACTCTGGAGCTGAGTTCATACACTTCAGTCTCTTAAGAGTTATGTAGATTAAGACTATGCTGAATTGTCTTGCAGCTTCTTGATTTTACATTAGTCTACTTGATCAATAGCATCAGATCTTAACAATTAATGGGACTGATGTATAATTATGTTCCCATATGTCATTGGCTTTAACCACACATCTTCTCTAACTTAAAATATTTTCAACAGCTCTCTTTGGATATTGCCTCCTCCATCAACTAATATTTATCTGCTGATTCACCAACTTCTGAAGTACATTTCTCTACTATTCTTTCTGTGAGCAGAGATATCTTCAGCAGCATTTTTTGTGAATGTTACCTTCTGCTTCTGAACCTCCTGCTGCTTCTCCCATTTTCTGTATGAACTGGAAAATGGGCACAAAGCCCTGGGTCCTTAAATGTGCTTAGGTACTCTTTGTGCACTTAAATCCACTATTTAGACACTTTCAATACCTTCAAAATCACTGTTCTAACATCACCAAACCTTATAAGCACCTGAGTTTCGCTGGTGACTATAATACAAAATACCTAAACACTGACACTGCTCTTCAGTGAGGGTGTTGCTTAAGCCAAAGGCCAGGAGGTTTCAGTCTGGATCTTCTAGTGCTTTAACTAATGCTTTAAACTTGGGCTGTGTGTAAAAAGGCTCATGAGCACCATCATCCCTTCTGGCCATGTTTGGTGCAGGGAATAAGGCCTGTTCTGAAAATGGCTCAAAGACCAGACCCCACAGGTGGGAGAATGCCAAGTTTATAACATTTGTTGAGGCTTGAGTATGAACTTGGTACTATCACAATTTAAGATGTTGTAATCATGCCCAGTTGAAGAAACCTACTGTGTTAAGTAGGAGTTTTGTGAAAGACAGTGGTCACGCCTACACGTGATATTAGTGTGACGCAATAAACTCTGGTGCAGTTTGTGCGAGAGTTTATTGCTCTTGAGCGCCACATTTACATGTGAGCCTGGGCATTGAACTGAGTTAGAGCAGCCCTGACTGTCAGCCCGGAGCTGCTCCAACCCAGCTCAACATACTTCAGGGGGGCTGGCTGGGGCGTAAGGGTGCCCCAGCCTGGAGCTAGCTGGCAGGCAGCTCTAATTTGGGACTTGCCAGTAGGCCCCCACACTGAAGCACCCTCATACCCCAGCCAGCCAGGTCAGCATCTACATGTGTGTTGCGTTGCACTAAATAACTTGTGTTCGCAAGTACTAACCTATGGCAATGTTTATGAGTTTACTGTGGTCTTAGGTCTCAGTGTAGATGCCAAGACTTTACTGTGAAGCTAATTAGGCACCTCTATAGTAAACATCTTATGTAGTCTCACCCAGTGGAGCCTAAATGTTGTACTAAAAATGCAAGTAGGCACCTAAGGCCCCTTGGTAAATCTAGCTATAAAGTTGCTTAGAATATCTGTTGGGCTGTAGCTATACTTACAGTCAACTGTGCAAAGATGGGTCTAGGCAAGACACAAAGCAAGGTCTAAGCATGACACAAAAGTAAAAAACAAGATGTGGAGCTAGGTAGAAGGCAGGGTACATGTGCTCCTTATAGACTAACTAAGCTTACAAAAGCTTATGTATCTCTGATTTAGCTGGTCTGAACAGTACACACGTACCTGTCTTGGGTGTCTTGCCTGACTTCAGATTCATAGCTAACTGCCTCTGTTTGCTCAATATGGAACTAGCCAGCATTACTTACTGCCTATTCAAAACTGAAGTTAAGAAAAATGGTATGTGCACAAAGAAAGTCCCTGTCACTAGTAGTCATATGGGATTCTGGTCTGCCCAGCAACACCTCAGGTTTTGAGAAAGCAGGATCTAATGTAGCTATCTATGATCTCAGACAGTCCACAACAACACAGCAAGCTGTTACCATCACAGACTTTCCAGCAATCATCCAAGCTAACCCTAGAAGGTTGGGATGCTCAGTAATCTTTTAGTGCTGGGGGTCAGAGCAGTAGTAGCACCAATGAGGAGGAGGCTGTAATTCGGGGTACGTTGTTTTGATTATCTTTTTTCCTAATTCTTTTACCCACTCCTTGCCAATGGGCACAATTGGAGACAGCAATGAAGAGATCTGCATGCTAATCTTTTGCCCAGAAAACCTTCATCTGCAAGTAGTGCTTCTTTCCTGACTTCTGAATCATGTTGCACCAAAGTGGAGAATGCCATGTGGCAAGATGCTGACTCACCGGCATCTCTTCTCTTTGCCTTCAGAGCTGAAAGAATATCAAGAAGGATATTATTTCCTCTGTATATGAAGATCCCAGAGCAATTTCATCTAAGGTACTACCAACGTCTGAGAACCATAGGCTGTCAAATTATTATTGAAGTTACCTTTATTTTGCCTGATGGGAAAATAAACATTTTAAGACACACAGTTTTTAAAACACAGTAATTTTACTGCCACAGAAATTATTATATTTGCATCATTATGCTGGTTCAATCTACTGCATCGTAACTGCAGGGAGTAGCCAAACATATTTCTCTCCAATGACTCAGGACTCAGCACCTCACACCATACTAGCTATCACTCCTTTTCTTTGCTTTCGCCTTTTCATAGATTTCATAGACATCAGGGCTGGAAGGGACCTCGGAAGATCATCGAGTCCAGCCCCCCGCCCAAAGGGCAGGAAGTCAGCTGGGGTCATAGGATCCCAGCAAGATAAGCATCCAGTTTCATCTTGAAGGTGTTCAATGAAGGCGCTTGAACCACCTCCGGTGGCAGGCTGTTCCAGACCTTGGGGGCTCGGACAGTAAAGAAGTTCTTCCTTATGTCCAGCCTGAAACGATCTTGAAGTAGTTTGTGACCATTCGACCTCGTCATCCCTTGGGGCGCTCTGGTGAACAAACGTTCCCCCAGATGCTGGTGGTCACTCCTGATAAACTTGTAGGTGGCCATCAGATCACCCCTGAGCCTGCGCTTTTTCAGGCTAAAGAGCCCCAGAGCTCTCAGCCTGTCATTGTAGGGTCTGCTTCCCTGACCTCTGATCATGCGCGTGGCTCTTCTCTGAACTCTCTCAAGCTTCTCCACATCCTTTTTGAATTGTGAAGCCCAAAACTGGACACAGTACTCCAGCTGCGGCCTCACTAAGGCCGAGTACAGGGGCAGAATGACGTCCCGGGATTTGCTTGAGAAGCATCTATGGATGCAAGCCAGCGTTTTGGTTGCTTTACTAGCCGCCGCATCGCATTGCAGGCTCATGTTCATCTTGTGGTCAAAGATGACCCCCAAGTCTCTTTCTTCCATAGTGCTAGCCAACATAGCACTGCTGAGCCTATAACGATGCTGCGGATTTTTTTTCCCAAGGTGGAGAACCTTGCATTTATCGGCGTTGAACACCATCAGATTCTCGTCCGCCCACTTGCTGAGCCTGTCCAGGTCAGCCTGGATAACCTGCCTGTCTTCTGGTGTGGATGCTTTGCCCCAAAGTTTGGTGTCATCGGCGAACTTGGCCAGTCCGCTTCTGACTCCAGTGTCCACATCATTAATGAAGATGTTGAACAGTATGGGTCCAAGGACAGAGCCTTGGGGCACTGGTCACAGGACACCACGATGAGTGACGTCCATCAATTACTACCCTCTGGGTCTGACCCCGGAGCCAATTTTCCAGCCACTGGATCGTGGAGGACCCAAGGAGACAATTGGCCAGTTTCTCCAAGAGGTGATCATGGGACACCAGATCGAAGGCTTTTTTGAAGTCAAGATATGTGACATCAATCTCTTCTCCCTTGTCCAGGTGATAGGTCACCTGGTCGTAGAAGGAAATGAGATTGGTCAAGCAAGACCTACCCGCAACAAACCCGTGCTGGCTATCCCTTAAGATGTTGACGTCGGCCAGTCCATTAAGGATGGCCTCTTTAATAAACTTTTCTAAGATCTTCCCCGGGATAGAAGTCAGGCTGATGGGCCTATAGTTAGCCGGATCCACTTTCCTCCCTTTCTTGAAGATAGGCACCACATTGGCCTTCTTCCAGTCTTCGGGCACTACACCAGAGCGCCAAGAGTTTTCAAAGATCCGTGCTAGAGGCTGGGCTATGATGCTCGCCAGCTCCTTGAGTACCCTGGGGGGAAGATTTTATGACTTCAGAAAAGTCTTGGGAAGTTTACAAGCATAAAACAGCTACTGTTTCTGCATCTAAAATTTATATGAGACTCAACCTTAAACCACAGTGGGGAAAATCATTTTGTCACTAGTCATTAAACTTTCAGGACAACATGTCAGGTTTCACATAAAGATGCAGCCCCTGGTTCTGGCTGTTATACCTTGTACTGGGAAAGCTTACAGAATAACAGTATCATAGGATATATGGAACTGCTGACATGGACACGCTGTTGACATTCAACTCCCTGAAATCATGAAGAAGATAATCTGTAGGAAGTGCATATGGCACAATGAATGATAGCTTTCATTCTACGGCAAGGAAATTCAAGATAGTAGTTTTGATAGAGTAGAAGGCATAAGTCATCCAACCTAGTCCTAGATCCCGGCCACTGTTTATATACCATATGTTTTGGCCTGACACAAACGGTCCACCAAAGGGCATCCATCATGAATATGGGAGATGGAGATACAGCACTTCTTCCTGCCACACATTCTATCACCACGTCTATCACCAGCATAACTTAAAAACCACCACTGTACTTTCCAATAGATAGAAATGCTATCTTCATCTCCCCCGAATCAAGCATGCTTTGCAGTGTGCAGGCTGTCAACAAATTCAGGCTTGCCTGGCCTGCTCCAAAGTGGTCTCTGCTACTCTGCTCACTGCTTCCTTCTTTTTTGTTGCAAGAGGAATGATGCTCTGGGACCCTGAAGACAACAGCTGTGTGGTATGGCATAAGCGCAGAGGTGCCATCTTGAGTAGGTAGAACTAAGCTGTTTATGGCTAGACTTTCTAACACATATAGGTACCTAAAGCTGCATCCAGGCACTTATATGAGATTCTCAAAGGTGCTGCAACACCTAACTCCTACATGACTTGCTGCCTAGTGGATAGAATCCCCAGCACCCAGCTAGGTGCCCAGGAGAGGGTTACATACTCAGAAGGATCCTTTGAAGCCAGTTTTGAAGGTAGCTCTATGCTCACCAGTAAAAGACATGAACAGGAAATGGATTTAGGCACCCAAGTGACTGACAGCCAGCAAGAGAAGCCTGTCTCTTGTGAATCTGAGCTGTGAATTTTCTCCTTGCTTGACCCATGAACTGAAGGAGATGCCTCTTTTCCTTTTCTAAAGCTTGGCTCCTGTGGTCAGTCAAAAGCAGCAGCTGGGAGCAGGTGGGCTCTCTGTCCTGAATGTCCTTTGCTGTCAGCCGGTGGACGTAAAAAGGAAAGTTTACTTTGCTGCCTCCCATCTAAGGAAACCATGCATGTGTACAAGGGTGGGATGTGAAGGCTGGAAAGGCACAGCTTTTTTAAATAAGAACTTCTTCATGAGGCTCTCCCAAGCCAGCAAAAACCCCACACTTTCAAGATATAATTTCAGAAGATGTTAAATTAAATTGCAGCTGCTTTTTCTTTCTTCCTTTTATAAGCCCTGCACTCCTGAATCAAACACCAAAATACTAATGCTTTCCTCACCACTGGCATTTTGAGTATTACAAACAGCCCCTAAATTTAATTTGAATTGACATTTGCATTTTAAATTAATCAAATGCATTTCAGCTTGTGATTTATGGAACTACACAACTGATGCTCATCTTCCCCTCTAGTGTGACACAGCATGTGACTAAGGGCCTGCCTACGAGGCAACACTTAGCAAAGTTGAAGCAAATCAGCTAAATGTGTTAAGGCAATACAGATAAATTTAAGTGCATTAAACCCTGAGGTGGATTCTATCATTCACGTGTGAAGTGGGTTCAGCCCTCCTTAGAGAACTAGCTGATATCCTTGGCAACTAGGCTGAGGAGCCACAAAGGGAATGTACGTGCTATTTCTCCACCACCTGCAAAAGCTGCCCTTTCTTGTCAGAAGAAAGTATAATTTGGGGGCAGGCTGAGCAGCTCACACTTCTATTGCTGTGCTACAACTGTTCAGCGAAGCTCTACGCAGCACTCTGGCCCTCAAGGCTCATGGTTCTCTCTGTTAAGAACGTAACATTCACTTTGGAAAATAAGTTGAATCCAGTCTGGGTGAATTTACTTCAGCAAATACACTGTTTAAGTCAGCGTGTGGAAAGTGCATTTTAACTAGAATCCAGCAATGTGCTTCATCAAACGTTTAGAGGAGAAGCCCACCATCTTCCAATATGAGAACCTTGTTCCATCTAAACTGCACTTCTCTACTACATCCTAACATAAGACTGAGCCCATGGCAAGTATGAATTTTTAACATTAAGCTATTTGAGATATCCAAGTGAAGAAGAAATGTGTTAAAAAAATAATTAAATCTGGGGAAAAACAACTTCCCAAGTTCAAATGACTGTAAAACCAGACAATAGAAGATGTAAGCACCTGAAAAAGCTTAGAACGTAATGTCTCCATAGTCCTCAGTACAGCACTGCCCCTGCCCTGTTGTTGTGTGCAAATTGCACTTTGTGTGTACACCTGTGCTGTTCTCTGAGTGTCACTTGCAACACATTGCTCAGCCTGTTTAATAAGTTTTCATTCCTTATTCAAATCAGTGTTTCAATTTCTAAAATGATTCATATTACAAGGCAATGTAATTACACTACAAGACAGTTTAATTTGCAAGTTCATTTCTTGCCAAGAGCAGTGCAATTTCTAATTCTAAAAAAAACCCAGTTTGTGCCAAATACTATCACCAAAGCTCTCTAATTCGTTATTATGGTATGACTGCAAGGGAACATACTGTGATAGGCAGCGCTTCTCCAGACAGTATCATTACCTTGTGACTGTGTTGCTTTTAAATCGTAACCCCTACAAATTTTTTTTTTTTTTTTTTTAGTAGAAAAAAGGAGTGCTTCAATTTCCTCTCTTAACATGCAAGCACATAACCACTGTTATAGAATTGTGGTCCTCCCTGTGTACTTTTCTTCAGTTCTGTTATGTACAGAACTATTATATTGTTACTATTAAATATTTATGTTACAGAAGCCAGGCAATTGCTAGGCACAGTAGGCTTAATCAGAAGCTCAAACTTGCATTACAGAAGTCATTGGCAGAATTCCCTTTCACTTCACTGGTGTGAGGTTAAGTCCATAAAGAGAAGAGGGAAAATCCAACAGGGATGAGGGTGAAACCCAAAATTATGTGAG